GGAAGGTCACTCTGCAAGAGCTTGGCAAGGTCGTCTTACCTAGGAGCAGTTTTTGATGGATGAAAGGGAGCTCAGCCCCTCATGTCTTCAGTGGGATGAAGTGACAGCATCTGGAAAACATGAGGCTGTTCAGGCTGAACTTGTTCCATTTTTCAGGTCCATTTGGAAATCTCAAATTTACATGATAACGTACTCAGACAATTAAAGTCTATTTCTTGACCTCGTTCAGAAATAAAAAAAAAACCCAATCAGTAAACCTGGCCTGATCACTTTTCCCCTAGGTTGTTTTGTGACATGACTTGACTTATTCCACATTCAAGGCGTGAGGTATAACTTGTAAGTCTTTATATTGCATTCCTGTAAGAAAAAAACAATAATTGCTAACTGATGCTGAGCAAACTCATTTTTCCTTTTCGGTCATGATTTGGTTATTTCTTTATGGAATTCTATGATTCCATGTCCTGTTCTTGCCTCCTTTTCCTTCTCACCTTGGCAGCTGCTTTGAAGTGTGAGTGGGTATTTGGGAGGATGTGCGTGGAATGTTCATGGCAGGGAGGACAGAGTAAACGACCAAAGCATTGGAGCAGTGGAGTGTCATCAGTGAGGTCACTATGTGACATTCACGTGCTATAGTTTGTAGATGTGTTTTGAAGAGGGGCCCCATTCCCTCCCAGCCTTCTCAGGCTGCTCTGGGATTTGCAGCTCTGCTGGAGGTGTTGCCCCTTCCCTCACATTTCATCCTTCCCCACATTGATCCCACCTGGCTAAGCCTGACACTAGACCTGACCTTTCCTGTTGACTGTGCTCTGTGGGCGTCTTGGTGCTCCTCTTGTTTTTAAGATTTTGGTATCTGGGGCCTTTTGGATTTTTACATGGGCTGTGTGCCAAAACTTGAGGCCATTTGTGATTGTCAGAAGAAGGATTTGGAGGCCACCGAGGATTGTTGAAGGCAAGCATTGCATGATCCTCAAAAACAACCCAGGCAAGTCCAAGTTGTGTCAGTGCTCAGTGTGGACGTCTGAGAAAGGTCTGAAGGGCTGGAACTGGAAGCTTGTGGTCAGTGTCCAAAAATCCAGATGGCAGCAAGCCCCCAGTGCTGTAGCCCAGGAACTGGATCCATTGGGCCAACACAGAAAACCTGACAGGTGCTGGACATCTGCTGGGGTTCTGTCAGGGCAGAATGGGGTTCTGGCAAGGGCTGTTTGTTGGGAGGAGTCATCCCAGGTAAGAAGGAATGCCTGGGTGTCAGATGGACTGTCTTCTTCTATGAAAAAGCCTTTGTTTTGTGGTTGTGGTTGCAAAGAAATGGAGCAGCAGGTGTCCCTGTGTGGAAAAAGGGAACCCAAGTGTCTACGATAGGATTGGGAAAAGTGTATGACCAAGCAGGGAGAAGTGATATGTCTGCTCAGCACTGGTGAGGTCCCACGTGAGGTGTTGTGGGCAGTCCTGGGCTCCCAAGTGTGAAAATGAAGTAATTTAGTGAATCCAGATCATTTGAGGACAAAAAGACTCCAAAGGGGTTGGAGAATCATTCCTAGAGGATAGTCTGAGACAGCTGTGACTCACAGTGGACAAGGATGGATGGGGGATGTCATCAGTGTGTGCAAATCCCTGATGGCAGAAATGAAGTGAAGGTGCCCAGCTTTTCACAGCAGTGCTCACGTGCAGGGCAAGAAGGCAAAGGCACAAGTGGAAAAAAAAAAAAATGGAATTCCCAGGGAAAAGAATACAAGAGTCTTTCCTTATGAGGGTGGCCACAGAGAGGAAGAGGTGTTGGAGCATCTGTCCTGAGAGGGCAAACACTGAACTGTCCCTGGTGCTGGGAATCCTGCTCTTGCTGACTGCTTGAGCAGGGGATGTGAAGCACTTGCACTCCAGATTTCCTGCCAGAGTGGTTGATGTACTTCCCCAGTTTGCTGGAAGGTTCAAGAGACCTGCAGGTAAGAGAGTTTGTCACGTGTTCACTGGCATGGCAAGACTTTACCAGAGGTCTACCCAGCAAAGCATTGACATGTCCAAGTTTTAGCATATCATCTAAGGCATGGGGGTGGGTCCGCAGGGCTGGCAGCGGTTGTAGCAGGCCATGGGTGTGGTGTGGAGGGTCCCTGGAAGAGAGAAGGGCGAGTCAGGGCAGGGAAGTGGGGGTGAGAGAGGAGGTGATACAGGATGGTGAGGGAGTGTGGAGACTGTTTTTGGGCTGTGGGGAGGTGTGAGGGCTGCTGAGGCTGGGGCTGAGCGTGCTGGAAGAGATGGGTCAGGGGTGAAGGGTCAGGAGGGTCAGGGGCTTGAGGCTCACCTGGTTGTCTCCAGGAGCAGGAGGAGAAGGCGTGAGGAGAAGTGTGTGAGGGAGAGAGGCTCTGGTCTGGCTTTTATGCTGGTTTTGGAGGGGCGGGACAGCCTTGTCTCATAGCCTTGGGGCATTTTGGAGGCAGCATCTCTTGGCTGGCCTAGGCTGGTGAGTCATGAGGTGGGGAGTGTTTTCCTTCCTGATTTTCTGCAATTCTTTCTTCTTCCCTTGAGTCAGTGTCCATTTGACCTTGATTGCATATTTCAGTTGGAGGAAATAGAGGCCAATGGATTGGTACTGGTTTTGTTTTGGATGTTGAAGAGGCAAACAAAGCCTACAGGAATTTGGGTGTTGTTTCATGTCTTCAGCTAACCCCCAGCCATTCCTTCTGGCCAAACCTACTTCTCTGCAGCCTGAAATATGGTTGCTACTCTGGACTGGAATTTCATAAATGGATCATGAGGTGGCCATGCACCCTTGCCTGTGAAAAGCTCCAGCAGTTACTTTGATAGGATTAGGAAAAGAAATACAAGCAGGTTAAGGGAATTGAACATCCTGTTCCATACCAGTGTTGGGGCTCCTCAGTGGAACAAGGCCATGGGCATGTGTAGGAGCGGCAGGAAGCAGGATGGTCAGGACAGATGGAGATGGGAGATCTCTGAAGCCAGGTCTTGGAACTTGCAGTTTATTGCAAAGGGCATGGGTGCAGGGGCCCTGCTTGGAGCTGCTTGCCGCAGCTTGGAGCAGGCCGAAAAGAAAGAGAGGTAAAGAGAGTGGTAGAGAGAGAGAATGACAGCGCGAGGAAGAGTAAAGAGAATGAATGCAAGAGTTTGGTAAAGAGAGAATGAACCAATGGTTCCCATTACAATGCAATAAATCTTCTTCTGTGTTGAATATTCTAGTTCTTACTAACCAATCTATTACAAGATGCAAATCCTATAATATTTACATACATAGCCTATAAGAATCATTACATTACCGTACTGTGTTACACTTTAAACTCTAAAAACTACTCTTTGGACCCCTTGTGCCAAGCTAGTAGGGTCTGCTCTGACACTTGGACCTGTCTCCAAGCAGAGGCTATTGTTTCATCAAAAGGGAATTACCTTTGGCCAGCCATACCATTGTTTTCCAGTTGTTCACCAAGTAAGGTACTTCAAAGCTTGCTTTCATTTCAATCTTGCTTACAGTTTCCATATTCTCAAAATCTTTTGCCAGGCAGTAATATTTATAAGGCTTTCCTGTTTCATCGTCCCCAACAGACATGGTTGGCCAAGAGACCAGACACTGATGGGAGTGGAGGATCCTTAAGATGAGAAGCTGAGAGAGCTGGAATTTCTTTCAGGCAGGAGGCAAGAATGCAAATGGGGCATGTTGTCAGTGTGCCATGGAATGACTTCAGTGATGCCACTCCAAATCTTCTAAGCTGTGGTTAAATCTTCTATGTGTTGTGACACTCAAAATCAACAACAACACATTGGTCTCTAATTCTTGCAACTTAAACCTACCACCAAGGTCAGATGGAGATGGCCTCAGGAGCAGAACACAAAATTGCACAATTCCACCCAGGAACAACTGCTCAATGACACAAAAGAAAAGAGGAGCTTACTGGCTATCCATTAGTAATTATTGGGTTTTGCTCATAGGAACAACACATTAAGACTTACTAATTATAAGTTATGAAAACTTGTGGCTTGAACGCGGAAAAAAGGAATTGATGTCACAGACCAGCCTGGGAAAAAAGGGATTGGGCCCCGTTTGTTTATTGGATTCCTGAATGAGGTCAAAGAATACACATTAAATGACAGAGTATATTGTTGTGTAAATTGTGTAAATTTCAAAATACAAGTAGACTGGAACAAGTTCAGCCCTGAACTGCCTCTTGTTTCCCAGATCTTCTTTCATGATATCATTGAAAAAACAAAAGGGAGATGCTCTCTTTCCTCCATCATGAAGGGTTCTCAGGCACTGTGACCTTTCAAAGATATCGCAGAGTGACCTACTCAGGACATCAGCAGCTCCCTCAACATTCCTGGATGCAACACAACGACTGAAGGACATCCAGTGGCACAGAAGAGAGTCCCAGTCTTCACAAGGCACCCACAAACCACAGAACAAGAGGGCCACAAAATGACCACACTGATGACATTGCACCTTTCCTGGGTGCTGACTGTTTATCCACCCCTCCCCGACTCACACAGAACAGTCAAATACTCCCAAATACCAACTCCCAGATAGAAGCTGCCTCCAAGGTCAGATAGATGCAGCCTCAAGAGCAGGATATGGAATTGCAGAAATGGATGAAGGAGAATAATCCACAACTCATGACTCACCAGGCTGGGCCAGACAAGAGCTGCAGGCTAAAAAATGCCCCAAGGCCATGGGATGAGGTTGTCCCGCCCCTCCAGGACGAGCATAAAAGCTGGTCCAGCACCTCTCTCCCTCACACACTTCTCCTCACGCCTTTTCCTCCCGCTCCAGCTGACAACCAGGTGAGCCTCAAGCCCATGATCCTCCTGCTCCTGCACCCCTGGCAGGTGCTCTTGCACCTCTCCTCCAGCACACTCAGCCCCAGCCTCAGCAGCCATCACACCTCCCCACAACCCCAAAACATCCTCCACACTCCCTCACCATCCTACATCACTGCCTCTCACATCCCCACACCCCCACCCTGCCTCACACCTCTCTTCCAGGGAACCTCCACACCACACCCATGGCCTGCAACAACATCTGCCGACCCTGCGGACCCACCCCACTGGCCAACAGCTGCAACGAGCCCTGTGCCCTGCAATGCCAGGATTCCCGCGTCATCATCAACCCTTCCCCTGTGCTGGTCACCCTGCCAGGACCCATCATGACCTCCTTCCCCCAGAGCACCGCCGTCGGATCCACCTCCTCCGCTGCCGTGGGCAGTGAGCTCAGTGTGCAGGGACAGCCCATCTCTGGTGGATTTGCTGGCTTTGGCCTTGGCTATGGCCGTGGATTTGGCTATGGGCTGGGAGGCCTGGGCTGCTATGGCAGAAGGGGTGGCTACAACTGCTGAGGGCTCTCGGCACACCATGCTCCTCCCACTCTGGGGCAGGAAAGCATTGTTGATCTGGCCAGAAACCTCCTCCAAGCAAAGGACCTCGGCTGATGGTCACTTGCACTTCAGCCAGGCTCCCTTCCATTTTCTGTTTATGGCTTTTCCGTCTTCTACCTCAATAAAGTTTTCCTGCATCATATTTTAAGATGAGTCCTTCTTCTTTCTGATGTCAAGACCCTTTCAGTCTCACTCAGCTCTCAGCCAGCCTTCCTGAGTCTATTGGAGTGGGTGAAAAAGTGCTCCAAGACCTCTCTTAGGATTTATTTCCCTATTCTACCACCAACTGGAACACTTTGCTCTTCCAGTGCATCCCACAAGTCCTTCAGTTACTGAATCACAGACCTGGATACACTAAGGCAGATCTATCTCTGCCTCTTGCCCAAGCCTCTCTGGGTGGCATGTTCACTTTTGCTGGACAGCAGTTGCTTCTGTCCCTCATCATCTTCCATGCCCTTTGATAGATTCTATGAAGCAGGCCCATGTCTTCCTTGTCTTTGTGAGCTCAGAACTCAATACAGAACTCTGATTTTAGTACAGGAGAGTAGAGGGTGAGATTCCCCCGCTCTCTTGTGGTGCCCACGCTGTGGGGATGAGCCCAGGACAGAGAAGGAGATTCTGGTCAGTGAGTGCACCTGGCTGGGGCACATCCAATTCTTCATCCACCAACACCTCAAGTGTTCCTCTTTGGGTCTGCTCTCAATCCCTTCATCACCCATCCTGTCTCCTGCATGTTTTTAGAGTGCTCCAATCCAAGTGCATCATGTTCTGCCACTCTGCTCTGCTCTAGTAATACTGGAGAACTCTGTTTGTCTCTGGGTTACTGGGAACAAGGAAGACAAGGCTCTGCTGGAGAAGATCAAGGTTATGGCCTTGAGGATGACCCATGGGTGAAGGTTTAGGACAGCCTTGGCTCGTGACTTTCGGACATTTTCCAGGCAGAAGCTGTTGCCTGGAAAAGCCTGGTGTGTCATGAGGTTGGGAATGTTTTTCTTCAAACAGCTCTGAAATTCCACGTTCTGCTCTTGAGACATGTCCACCTGACCTTGGCGACAGCTTTAGTGGGTTGGTATTGGTTCCACTGTGGATGGATGAAGAGAGGCAGAAACATTATTCTGTACCTGGACTGTGTAAAACTTTTATTCCTATACCAGACAACATTCCTGTCTCTAAGCTGGAGCTGATGGTTAGACCACTGGCTGGATAAGGAATGGGCAGGATGGTCTCACTCAAAAGTAGTGGTCACTGGCTCCATGTCCCAGTGTGGAGAACAAGGACCAGTGGTGAAAACAGGGATTCATATTGGAACCATTATAAATTTTTCTCAAGGACATGGAGAGTGGGTTTGAGTGTCCCCTTGGCAAGACTGGGGATGACACTAAGGTGAGTGGTGTGGTTTATGGTCTGAGGGAAAGGATGGAATCCAGAGGGTTTTGGACAGACTGGGGAGATGGGCTGGTGTGAAGCTTGTGAAGGTCAACAGGACCAAGAGGAAGGACCTGCACCTGGATTGGATCAATCTCAGTAATGGATGTTGGATGGGAAATGAGTTAATTCACAGCATCCCTGAGGAGGACTTGGAGTGTTGGTGGATGAAGAATTGGACATGTCCTGGCCATGTGAATGAGCTGATCAAAAATCCCCCATGCCCTGGGGTGATCCCCACAGTGAGGGCAGCACATTCTGCCCCTTGGCTGCACTCTGATGAGACCAGACTTGTGTGTTCCACTCTGAGGATATAAAAAAAGGAAGACATGGACCTCCTCGAGCAGATCTGTAAATGGCCTTGGGAGATGATGAGGGTCTGGAGGAATTGGTGACCAGCCAAAGTGACCAGCCAGGAGGGCCTTGTGTCAGAGTCATGGATAGAGGTGCATTGGGGTATCCAGGCGTGTGTTCAAGCAACTGAAAAGTTGCTGTGATGCACAGGAAGAACAAAGTGTAGCAGTGGGTAGTGGAATTGGAGAAGTAATTCCTAAAAGAGGTCTCGGAGCATTTTTCCACAATCCAAATAACCTCAACAACATTGGCTTAATCTCAAAGTGTCTAGGGAGAAGAAAGAAGAAGGAGTCTTGTGAGGTTATGATGCAGGAAAACTTTATTGAGGTAGAACAGTGAAAGCTCAGGAGGAGCCAGTGGATGGGAATTGGCCTGGGGTGCAAGTAGGGCGACCGTCAGCCGAGGTCCCTTGGTGCAGATGGTTTGGTCAGAGCATGAAAGCCTTCCTGATCCACAGTGGAAGCAGCCAGGCAGAGGTGCCCAATGGTCTCTGGCTTGGGAGAAGGGGTTTGCAGGAGAGCAGCTGGACACAGCTGAAGGGGCCATGCAGAGCAGGGAGTAGGAGAAGAGAAAAAGGTAGATGGGCCATGTTTGCAGGCAGCCCAGGCTGGCCCCTTGGCTGTTGCCTTCCGCAGATGTTGTTGCAGGCCATGGGTGTGGTGTGGAGGGTCCTGGAAGAGAAGAGGATGAGCCTGGTCAGGGGTGAGAGACTGGGAAGCAAGGGAATGAGGAGGCTGTTGTGGGGCTGTGGGGAGGCATGAGGGCTGCAGAGGCTGGGGCTGAGTGTGCTGGAAGAGAGGGGCTGGGGTGCAGGATCAGGAGGGTCATGGGCTTGAGGCTCACCTGGTTGTTGGCAGGAGCAGGAGCAGAAGGCTTGAGGAGAAGTGTGTGATGGAGAGAGGCTCTGGGCTGGCTTTTATGCTCCTTCTGGTGGGTGAGACAGCCTTGTCCCATGGCCTTGGGGCGTTTGTTAAGCAGCAGGTCTTGCCTTGCTCAGCCTGGTGAGTCATGAGCTGGGGAGTGTTTTCCTTCCTGATGTTCTGCAGTGTCATGTGCTTTTTCTGTTTGTGTCCATGTGACATTAACGGCGGCTCATAATTTCAGAATTAGAGACCAATGTGGGTTTTTTTGATGGCATCCATCAAAGTATGTAGAATATTCAACCAAAGCTAAGGAGACCTGGGGAGTGAGGTCATGGCATATTGACAACATGTCCCATTTGCAGTCTTGCCTCCCACCTCAAGAAACTCCCAAAACTGTCAGCTTCTCCTCATTTTGATGATACCCCAGTATTGTCAATGTCACGGTCTCCCTGCACTGCTCTTGGCCAACCATGTCCATGTCCTTGTTCCACCCTGGATCCCCAACACTGGTGGGGGACAAGAGGGTCAACTCCTTCAGCCTGCTTCTATTTTTTCTCCCATATTACCTGTCCTGGTAACTGCTGGAGATTTTTATTCCGAAGAGTGCATGTCCACCTCATGATCCACCTAATTTCCAGCAGGATTACAAGGGCCTTCTCTTCTTGAATGCTTTGGTTGCCAAGGCAACTGGTGTCATCCTGATCTTCTGTCAGGCCTTTTACACAGTCACACGGGAAACCCTTGTCTCTAAACTGCAGACAATTTGTTTTAAAGGTGGTCTAAAGAATGGATGAAGAACAGCCAGAAAGTGATGGTCAGTTGTCGCCCTGATTTTTTAAGACTTTGTTAAGCCTTCTGATGTTTGCATTCTTTCAACAAACTTCCTCACACACAGTTCTGTAAATAACCTATGTTTTGCATTCTTTCATGGAGGTGGAGAGAATTGATGGACCCTTGGTCTGTCCAGTGGCATTGGAGAGGTGGCACTGTCACCCTCCAATCCACTGTCACCTTTGGAAAACTATAAATGTTGGAGTCAGAAAATAAAGTTCTTCTTCTTCTTCTTCCTTTTTGTTCCCCTCGAGAGCAGCAGTGTCTGTGTCATCATTTTGTGCCGTATCGCAACAGTCAGTGGCTGTCTGTACAGGTAGCGGCCAGTGATGAGGCCTCCAGGCCTCTGCCTTGGACTGGTGATTCTGAATGCCTTTATCAAGGAGATGAGCAGAGAGATCAAGATCACCCAGCATCTTTGCAGTGCCAGGAAGCTGAGTGTTGCAGCTGACACAAGAGCAATGAGGGATCCCGTCAGGAGGGACACTGGGAATGTTGAGAACATAAGAACCTCTTGTGGTTCAACAAGTCCAAATTCAAGGTCCTGCACCTGGTTTGGGACAGTCCCAGACATGAGCACAGCTTTGGAGAAAACTCCTTGAGTTCACTTACACAGAGAAGAATTGCAGGTTGTGGTGGACCAAAATGACACAGCAATGTGAATTTCTAGCCCAGAAAAACAACCATATCCTGGGCTGAAAAGAAACAAGTGTGGCCAGCAGGAATGGCTGGGGGTCAGCTGAAGACAGGAGAAATCAGCCAAATTCTTGTTGGCTTGTTTGCATCTTTTACATTCCTGAGAAAAAAAAACAAGACCAAAACCTTGACCTGTATTGCTCCCAATTAAAAGCTGCTACCAAGGTCAGATGAACACAGACTCAAGGGGAGGGCATGGAATGACAGAACATCAGGAAGGAAAACATGACCCACCTTATGAATCACCAAGCTGAGCAGATCAAGAGCTGCTGCCTAAAAAATGCCCCAAGACCAGGGACAAGGCTGTCCCACCCCTCCACAACCAGCATAAAAGCCAGCCAGGAGCCTCTCTCCCTCACACACTTCTCCTCAAGCCTTCTGCTCCTGCCAACAACCAAGTGAGCCTCAAGCCCCTGACCCTCCTGCTCCTGCACCCTGGCCCCTCTCTTCCAGCACACTCAGCCCCAGCTTCAGCAGCACTCACGCCTCTCCACAGCCCCACAACAAACACCACACTCCCTTGTCCTCTTCCATGACTGCCCCTCACACCCGCGCACTCATGTCTTAAGGGATGCTGTGAATTAACTCATTTCCCATCCAACATCCATTACTGAGATTGATCCAATCCAGGTGTAGGACCTTCCTCTTGGTCGTGTTGACCTTCACGAGCTTCACACCAGCCCATCTCCCCAGCCTGTCCAGAACGCTCTGGATGCCATCCCCTCCTTCCAGACAATCCCACTCACACAACTCACTTCTTTGTTATTCACATTTTTGCTGATGGGACACACA